GCGAATATCCACTACTCAGGAGGAGGAAATAGTTAAGATAAGTGCACAGAAAATGAACAAGGACAAGTGAGTATTCAGCATATGGTGAAAACGAGATAACTGCGCAGCATTTTCAATTAATAAATAAAAGAACGAATTTCATTGGCCATGACTACCTGAAATTATATATTAATACTAAGTGGATTCTGAGATCTTGAATAAGAGATAAGCTAAATAAAAAATGCTAATTTCGTAGAAAGGCAAAGTAAGGATAGAATGCTCTGATTAAAATATTCATAGCTCAGCAAAGAAAGGCGCTATATAGAATATAATAATGTTTAAAATAGCACAAAAATTAGAATACCCAATATTCACACCCAATTATACGAATGAAAAATTTTAGGATGTAGTGTTCGAAACCCTCCGGGACCCGAACTCAAAAATATGAATGTGGGGTGGTTTTACCTAATAATTAAAGTGCTATTTGTGTAAGGGAATCTAGAGCAAAAATACTAAGTAGTTATGAATGGCATAGGTACTTATGAAGAAAGTCAATTAATTCCATAGGGTATTATGGTAAACTACAGAAAATGAAGCTCCCAAATCATTTTATCTAATCTTGTATCCCAAGTCTTATCACATAGGGGAATGCGGAAACCAAGACAAAGCGGAGTAGGATAAATGATCAAGATCACCACTATAGAGTATGTGAAGTGAGGACATTCTTCCGAGAAAATTCATTTAAAGCTATCTCAAGGACGGCATGAAATTGCATTCAACTTATGTGGCTTAAGTATAAAATAATTGAATGAAGAAAAATGAATTAAGCAGTAATAGCCTATTTTATTTTCAGCGAAACTTACAACTTACCCATTCACCTATGAATCCAGGAAAAAATCTTAGAATTCTTCAAAAGCTTACGAGAATGACATAATGGCAATTTGCAAGAGCATATGCATAAAAATGCCACACACCCAATAAGACAGTGTGCAAATTATTGTCTGATTTTTCTCGCAAATATGGGGAGTATCCACCGAATTTTAAAACAGTTGAAAATATAGATAACAGAAAAATTACGATGCAAGTCAAGTATTGGCCTAAGACTTTTGAAACAATTCGTTCCAGTTCTGATGATGTCCGTCAACAGAGATGACAAACCAACGCTTAGCACATGTAGAAAAACTGGTTTTCGAAGAATCCCTAAATTGATTGATGTTGGAGTACCACTAGCGAATAGGATAGAGAAAAGCATCTATTTGGAGCGAGGTAGACAGATATACCATGCGACTAGAGTCCAGATATCACCGTCGTGTCAGCTTCCGAAAAAGATAGATAAATTTCTGAGGAAGTGGCACATCGGAACAATTTATAAGGAGAAAATAACACTTCCCCGATAATGCCATCCTATCGGAAAATTTCGGACCCACATTCTAAATAGAGCTGTTATAAGGTTTTGTGTTCGTGTAGTAAAGTCTATATTGTGGATACCTGTCAACCCATACATAAGACGTTATCCTAACATAAAACAGCCTTCAAAGGTTGTTGGGCTCAAAAACTGGTCGAACACAGTCCACACATGAAACCAGATAGACCCGGTCTAATGCTAAACGCTTAGCTGTCAATGAAGAATAAACAAGTAAACGGAAAATTAGGGAATCTGTAGAAACCAACAGAACAGCCAACATCCTGAATAGAAGGAACGAGTGTAGGAAATTAAGTGGAAATTACCTGTGGCTGTTGGAAAGGATTAAAAAAAGAAAGGGAGAAAGAGAAATAGAGAGATATAACAAGAAGTACAGCCAAGTAGGAGGATGCTTGATTAGCCTCAAATCTGGTTTTCATTAACAAACCCTACGCGCCTCACAAGTATTGCATGCACACAAAACACGCACAATGGGACACTTGCGGCACCATTGCAGGATCAAAAGAAAAAGAGATAAGTGTTTTCGGGGAGGGTGCAGCTGTTCGGTCACAATTGCATCCCTTTCACGCTTCATTTGCAGCCACTTCACTTTTCGACAGTGCGTATGAAAAGCACACGATCTCCAACCAAAGTATGCTATGTTTCACTAAGTGGACTTAACAAAAAGTTGGTAGGATTGCAGCCACCTACCTTTCTTGTCTCTGACGAATTATCGCCAAGAATGGTGTCCTGCTCTAACGATGTCAGTCAAATGACGAACAAAAGCTCAGTAAG